CCTCCTTCCTTCCTTTCCTGTGCTTTGATCACTATTTTCTACCTTAAGCTTCTTGATTCCCTCCCTTCCTCTCTCCCTCCCTCCCTCCCTTCCTTCATGGTCTCAGCTCACTGCAACCTCCGCCTCCCAGGTTCAAGCAATTCTCGCACCTCAGCCTCCCAAGACGCTGGGATTATATGCATGCACCACCAAGCCTGGCTAAGTTTTTGTATTTTAGTAGAGATGGGGTTTTGCCATGATGGCCAGGCTGGTCTTGAACTCCTGTCCTCAAGCAATCCACTGGCCTTAGCCTCCCAAAGTGCTAGGGTTATAGGCATGAGCCACTGCACCTGGCCTTGATTTCACTTCTAAATAGAGATGCTGCTGCCCTTCATAATTGAAAATCAGCACTCATCTAAGTTGTAAATCATGCTCACTTTAAAAGATAATTTATCAATTACGAATTACTCTTTCAGCAAATTGTTTTTAGAAGACTACCATTATTTTAGAACTTGTGTTTAGATATTGTCTACACTTCTTTAAATAGAATTTACGTACTATTTGACTTAGGTACTATTTTACTTAGGACAATGAAAGTCAAATATTCCAACTTTGTTCCTGAAAGATACTTCACTGTCATAAAGCAAAAGGAGTGAAAATCATTCCTCATTTCAGTCAGATTTCATTAAAAGAAAATATATAAGAGAGAAATGACTTTTCCCTATATATAATAAAATATTTTAGCAAATAAATTTGCTGGATAAAATGTAAGATATGAAGAATTATTTACAAAGGATAATACATGGCTATCTTTATTAGGTTGTGATGAGGTACAAAAATAAAAACAACCAAGACCTGGAATAGTTTTACAGATTTTGTTCTCATTATTGCTAAAGAATCTTAAAGGGTCAATGCATAATCCAGGATATTACAATATAGATATAATGCAATATTTATTATAATATTATACTATTATGGTTGTTGACCTAAATAAATGGATTAACACAGGCAGATGGACAGGAAGTGTTTCAGCTTACATATGGCCCAATGATAAAAAGCCATAGAGAGAAAGACTGGAACTGTTAGTTCTGAATCATAACTTGGTTATTTAACCCTTTGTGTTTTCACAAAGACTTGGTTAAGTGCTTCTGATAGCTATATCCATAATATTATGTATTCTTGCTAATCAATTCTAGCACTTATTATACTTTTAATTTTTAGTTGTCTGATTTACCTATTTGTAAAAGCTGGAACAATGTCTACTTGCTCACTGTTGCTTTTCTACAAGGCAAAGATTTATTTAATGAGTTAATAAACTCTGTTGTAGAGACAAGGACGGCCAGTCAAATAATAGATACAAAACTCAGTAAAGTTAAGTAACTTGCTTAATTTAGTGTGGTTATGAGGCAGAGAAAAAAGAATTTCCATCTAGGTCTTCTATTATCAAGTCAAGTGCTCTTTCTACTACCGATCATTCAAAACTATTGTATTTCTGATGTAGAAAAAATGTTTACACATACATTTCTGTGCGTGACAAGCTGTGCACGCCTAATTTGAAATGTAGAGGCTGGATGCGGTGGCTTACATCTATAGTCCCAGCACTTTGGGAGGCCAAGGTGGGTGGATCACGAGGTGAAGAGGTCGAGACCATCCTGGTCAATATGATGAAACCCCGTCTCTACTAAAAATACAAAAATTAGCTGGGCATGGTGGCATGTGCCTGTAGTCCCAGGTACTTGGGAGGCTGAGGCAGGAGAATTGCTCGAACCCAGGAGGCTGAGGTTGCGGTGAGCCGAGATTGTGCCATTGCATAACAAGAGTGAATCTCCGTCTCAAAAAAAAAAAAAAGAAATGTAGAAAGGGGATTTCTATGGGATTTGGCTAACACTAATGTGTACTAACTTATAAATATCATAACCAAGATGAAGTAAAAACAAGAATTTCAAACTCAAACTGTATTTCCAATTTTGTGCTGGATATCTATCACTCTTTGGTTGTCTCACATACGCCTCAAATTAAACACATTCTCAATCAAGATGCATTACCCTCTTTTCTTTTATCCTCAAGACTTGCCATTTCTCTTTTATTCCTTAATATAGTTAATAACATTATCATCTGCCCAATATCTCAAATTAGAAACCCCAAAATTGCTTTTGGACTTCTCTGTCCTAAATTTTTATGCTAAAAATTACAGTAAATAATTCACCTAGAACAGAGCTAAGTGCTAAAATCTATGGCCTTAATATTCAACTCAGTGGGGAAAGGCAAAAAATTCATTATTTTAAATAAAAAAGAACAGATATTTGAAATTGGCTGCTGAAGTCACTGAATTAGAGTATTCACGTACTAATGAAAAGTTTTAGTGTAAGAGTTCTTGATTGGTGTGACATCTGCCTTCAAAGTGGTCATTACTGATCAATATAATTCCTAAAACCTCCACACAGCACAAAAGATCATATTTGGTTTTCATTAATTCTTCATGCCTCTGGTGAAATGGTAGGCTTTCTCTACTAACCCTAGCTAAATGAAGTTCCCTGCTATTATTTTCTGCCAACATAACATTTTCATTTCTTCTTAGCAGGTATTGCATTTCAATTATAATTATTAAGTTAATGTGAAATTATAATTACTCAAGTTATTGTCTATTTGTTTATTTTACACATTGAGCATCCCTATCTGAAAATCTGAAATCTGAAACTTTTTGAGCTCAAAAAAACTGCTCATTGGAGTATTCTGGATTTCAGATTAGGGATGTTCAACCAGCTTAAGTATCTGCAAATATTCCAAAATCTGAAAAAAATCTGAAATTTGAAACACTTCTGGACCCAAGCATTTGGATTAGGGATATTCAGCCTGGAATATACAACTAAACTCCATGAAGAAAGACAGTACATCTGTCACTGATATTAGCACTTACAAGAGCACCTAGTTTATTCTCTTAAGCAGTCTTACAATTTATGAGACCTTTCTTATTAGAAAGATTAACTTCACTTTCTTTCCTCCTTTATTTTTAAAATTTTATTTCCAGATTCCTAATTGGAATAGATCAACTCCTTTTAAAATATCAATATTCAAATTAGTTTCTTTTATCATATTAATATTCTAATTCAGCATTTAAAGTTTATATTAAAAATTACGCCAAAGTGATAATTTTATCTTTGAGAGGTATACATTCTAGTGTTGATAAAAATTATCTAAAAGAAATATAATCTTATTCCTAGACAAAGATATAATGCTTTTTTGAATTAATTGTCAATTTGAACATCTAAGTGTTAACTAAGGAAAAAATTTCAAGACAAGCTGCTTGCTCTCTTAAAGTTCTCCAATAAGTGAATTAATTTAATGAATATTAACATTATTACATTATTATTTTTTAGAATTCTACTTTCGTGAATTTGGAAGTACCAAGTGATTTTTAAAATTGTATATTATATCCTCTGTGTAACTAAAATATAATTACAAAGTTTTAAAAAGACTCAGGAATAACTATGTATAATTAAATTTAGCATAAAATATTTTTTAAAAAATACTTATGGTTTCAGTATATTATTAAGGAAAAAAGAGATTGTGCCTTGAATAGTTCTGGATTCCCAACATTTAGGTCTTAATATTCAGTGAACAAAACACCTTACAGTGAACTTAACTTTTAGTTTTAAATATTTTCCAGACTTTACAAGTGAGTTTAGCAGGTACAACTGATTTTAATGCAGTCAAACTGTTATTTTGTTTTAATAATTTAAAATATATAGATGAGATTTTTCCATCTAATTCAGGTTTAAAGAATTCCTTGCTTTTATTCATTTGAAAATGTAGCTTATTGGCACCCAAATGGCATTAGCATAAACTTAACATCTACAATGTTCTTACGGTTTATCTTCATTGAAGATTTAGGGCCTCGGTTTTATTAAACAATAAAATCAATATCAGTTATTTTTGACATATATCTAAAATAATGATATACAACAGAAACACTGGAAACAGTGCTGAGAAGATTACAACATGTAATGTAAAACAAACTGCACTATTCACATCAGAAACTAAGATCCATTTTAGTCAAATAAAATTATAACATTCATAAAACTAATAGAAAAGATGGAATTGAGGAAGACAGCTATATAGGTACTTAAATTTGATGACAGAGAAAAAACCATAATTTGAAAAATTAACTGTCAGATTCCCTAGAACAAATTTAGTGTCTAACATCATGTTTTATTAAATAAGAAGGAATGTTACTGTTAATCTTTTGAGACCAATATTGCATCCATCACACTGAGAACCTAAAAGCACAAATGACTAACTTAATCAGGAAAGGAGCATTCTAGGAGAAAGTAGTCACAGCAGTAATAATGTCTGCTAGTTAATTTGTCATATATACAAAGATGTGAGCAGTATATAAGTGTCTCATCCTTTCCCTACCCTACACAATTCAGTGACAGATTATTAAAAAAAAAAAAAAAAAAAAAAAGACTAAGAAACTTCTTCCCCCTCCCAAAGGTTGGCATTAAAACTTTCTTTCTAATAAATTTAGATTTGTTTGCAAATATTAGGCAGCAACATTCCAAGATAAATATGTTTGAAAAAATTTGGAATGATACTAGAGCAGGGAGCTACCCCAGCCTGGACAAGTTTAAAGAAATCCCTTTGGTAACATAATTTTGTTAATCTTGCTGTTTACTGGCCAAAAATACATTAATCCTCAGTGTAAACAAATAACCTTACATCTATAATGATGGGTATACTAAAAAATAACAAATCTACAACAAAGAAACAGGAGCTACAGAAAGTAATATCCTTAGCTGTGATGTAGGAGTAAGACATTTTGAATGAGATCTGTATTGTCCTACTATTGGCCTAATATGACAATTTGTGACACAATGGGTGAGAACTATCTTATACTTTATTCGTTTCTCATAGTATAATCTTGCATGCAATCCAACCTTGACAAGCAGAAGGAAATATTGGTTAGTTTTCCCAGATTTCTATAGAAGAGCAGGTGTAAGGTGCGAAGGAACTGTACTTACTTTTGGTGTTGGGCAGGAAGCTGTAGAGAGGCGAGATGTAGCCTGAGCACGAGGCGATTCTGAAGGAGTAGTGCTGAGGGAGGCTGTGTCTCGTGGGAGCACCTGAACACCACGAGAAATGATGGAGTCTGGAATCTGAACAAGGGGAACAACTATGGTTTAATGTTCTGAAAATGCCAATGACATGTAGAATCATGACCCCCCCCCCTTTTTTTTTTAGCATTCTTTGCTGCTCAGCTCTGACATATTTACTGTCACTACTGTCAGGTATAAATGCATCCAACAGTTTGAGATAAATAGAAACTTTCAGATTTAAAGTATTTCTCCTGGCAAGTACCATTTCATAAAACTTTTTAATATGAGAGGCAGTATAGTATTGTTAGGAATAAGGGATTTGTCATTCATTCATATACTTGCTCTGCCCTTTAATAGTTTGAAATATTGAGCAAGTTTTAAAATTCCTAGATATTTTCCATTTCCTTTTCAGATCAGTCTCCAACCCTTTTTACCCTCTCTGCTCTGAACTGACCTGTATGGATAGCATCAATAAATTATTTTCTGCCCTGGCTTCCAGTTGGGTTCAGCCAGTGGAAGACACTGGCAGAAGACTGAGTTGGATAGAGAAAGGTCTGGCATTTATTCTCCTAGCTCCCTCTCTATGAGGTCATCATAAGTTGGCTGTGTCACTCAACTCAAGATCACAGCTCGTGTCAGATTGCCCTCCTTGCTTACAGCTGTTTCTCTAGATTCTAATAGCACTCTTCCCCTTGACTCCATTAGGTAGGAGTATGAATGGTTCCCACTGTTACTAGTCCCAGGCATTCCATAATGTCTTTCCCTAAATTCTGTCCAAACCTTTGTACATCCTATATGTTCTTTTTGTTTGTTTGTTTTTGAGATGGAGTCTTACTCTGTTGCCCAGGCTGAAATGCAGTGGCACAATCTCGACTCACTGCAACCTCGGCCTCCAGGTTCATGTGATTTTCCTGTCTCAGCCTCCCCAAGTAGCTGGGACTACAGGTACACACCACCAAGCCTGGTTAATTTTTTGCATTTTTATTAGAGATAGGGTTTCACCATGTTAGCCAGAATGGTCTTCATCTCCTGATCTTGTGATCTGCCCACCTCAGCCTCCCAAAGTGCTGGGATTACAGGTATGAGCCACCGTGCCCAGCTTATCCTATAGGTTCTTATTCAACTCTCCTCAATTACATATTTAAGCATGATATCTGACTTCTGCTAGGATCCTGATAGATATACCTTTTGAATTGCCACTTCCTTTATCTGAAAATTGATGATAACAATAGAATCTGCCTCACTGGATTACTGTAAAGGCTAAGTAAGATAATGTATGTAAATTATCTAGCACTTTCAAGTAGTAAATATTTAATAAATCTTGGTTACTATTATACTTATCAACATAGTAAAGACTGATGTAATTGAGTATCACTATTCTAAAAGTATATAAAGACTAATACTGTGGATTATTTTTAACATTATTGATATATGTTGATTGTAAATTTGTTACTTTAGGCTTTGCATAATTTAGCTCATGTTCTGGGATACTAGTAATGGGCACAGGTCTTCTAAGAATGGGAACATGAAAACTTCCAAATTTTGTGCATAAGACTTGAAACATGACAAAAGAATGAGCAATTAACATTTAATCAACAAATATCACTTACTATGTAAAGAGAGAAGCAGCCAGACTTTGTGACTAAAAGGTATTCCTAATATTATGCATCATTTCTTCCTCACAAAACTAACACTATTTCCATAGAGGCTCCTTTATTTAGTTTCTATACCAACATCCTTAATTCCAATGGTATTGCTACTATTTCAGCGGTTGAAATTTTATGTGATTTTATAAGCGATATAGCCATAAGTAGTATTAAAAGCAACAGGAATCCTGAGAAGCAAGACAATTCCATTGCTAGCATATTTGAGTACTGAATTCTGATCAGTATTTCCAAGAAATAAAGTCTAATTTTGAACAGCTATTTGTTGTCACTTATCTAATTTAAAAGGCCATATATTGAAAGGTCAAATACTCATATTATACTTCATATGACATCATATCCCTCTCCTTCACAGCAATGACCATACTTATAGAGAGTATCACAACATTTATATGTGTAATACTTTGATCAATGTCTATCTCCCACATTAAAATACACTGTCATGACGGAACTGTGTTGTGCTACTATTGTATGTCCAGCATCTAGTGAAGCAACTGCACAAATAATGTCTATGTGTGATATCTATCTTCAGACTTATACACATAATTGCATATATACACTACATATCTCTATGTGTATATACATAAATGTAAATTAAAATCAGGATATTTGAGGGAAAAGATAAGTTTAAATTTTGTGATTAGGTACTTTTGGGCTACTGGTCTGGAGCTACTTGATGAGGTATATGGGTCTGGAACTCAGGAAAAAATTAGAACATATAATTTGGGAATTACCAATGGAGGTAGTAATTTGAGTCATTCAAGTGTGTCAGATCACCTATGGAGAATATGCGAAAGAACAAAAGATGATGGTTGAAAATTTGAGGTAACATTCATATTAAGGGGTTAACAAAAGAAAATGAATGGAAAGAAGATATCTAAATGGGGTAACCATATATCCTATTTTTCCTTGAACAATCTGGGTTTATACCTATTATGCTGGTTTAATTATTAAACAGCACCTCTTTTCATGTTCAAAAGCATTCTGGTTTGGAAGATAATTAGTTGGTGTTCCTATCATAAAAAACTATTAGAGAAAGAGGAAAATCGAGATGGGTGGATATCAAAGGAATGTGGGGAAAAATCAAATATGAGAGAGAACAGGAATAGAGAGAGAGCTGAAAAGAAGCCATTACATCTAGTTAATAAAGAAATTGCTAGTAAAGAAACTAAAAATGGTAGATATAAATAGAGGAATTGAGTAGGCATGATAAAGCAAAGTAAATTGTGGGTAAAAGAGACAGATATTTATTACTCCTTTTTTTTTTTAATGCTTGCAGGAAAGGCTTACTAATGAGAATAAGGGGAGTAAAAGCGGTAAAGATAGTTTTAGGAGAATGGTAAAATTCTTTAAAAAATGCCTTGATGAGGCCGGGCGCGGTGGCTCAAGCCTGTAATCCCAGCACTTTGGGAGGCCGAGGCGGGTGGATCACGAGGTCAAGAGATCAAGACCATCCTGGTCAACATGGTGAAACCCCGTCTCTACTAAAAAATACAAAAAATCAGCTGGGCATGGTGGCGCTTGCCTGTAATCCCATCTACTCAGGAGGCTGAGGCAGGAGAATTGCCTGAGCCCAGGAGGCGGAGGTTGTGGTGAGCCGAGATCGTGCCATTGCACTCCAGCCTGGGTAACAAGAGCGAAACTCCATCTCAAAAAAAAAAAAAAAAAAAAAAAAAAAAAGCCTTGATGAATGAAAATGAAGGATAAGGCAAAGGAATTTTCAATTACCATTGTGGATCCAGTTAATATCAGTAAACATAAGTTTGCAATTTCATTTATGTAGTTTGGAAACAAATCCTCACCCCCAATCTTAAAAAAAAAACAAAACAAAAACAACTGCCTACGCTAGAGATACAGACTTGGAAATTATTGCTGAGATATAGTTGTTGAAGTTACAGTAATAAATGAGATCCTAAAGATGAAGACCATATAAGAATAATATGTCAAGACAGAAACTAGAAAAAGGGGGAAGAATTAGACACTGAAGAACAAGACGGTAGTAATTAGTTACCTGAGAGAATTCTATTTCATTATTTGATAAAGACAGAACCTGATTACAAGGGGTCAAGAAAAAAACTGGAGGTAAGGAAAAGGAGTCAGTGAATATAGATTACTCTGTTGAAGACAACTGCATTGTTTTCATTTTGAAGGCATTACGAAAAAGGCCACTAGGAACCTATGGGTGTTATGATGCCCGTGTGAGTAAAATTCTGGGATATATACACACACACACACACACACACACACACACACACACACACACACACA